CTTGTTAGGCCTAAATAAGAGGAGGGTGTATAATCGGTCTTAAAAGTGTTGAGAAATTCTAGTTTAGTAGAGTTTTGCATGGTATGTTGCCAATATAAAATATACTTTTGCTGCATTAGGCTAACATAATGTTTGATTTTAGCGTTAGTTAAGTACGTAAAACACTTACTGGTACCTTGGGATACAGTTAGTTTTGTTTTCCCTCGAATCGCGGTCAGCTCGATGTTTCCCTGGACTTCGTCTCGGAAAGCATCGGGATCCCCTTGAAAACAAAACTTTTTCCCTCGGTACCAGCAATAAAGTGAATATTTTTATACCCCCAACTCAAATTCGTTTTCCGATTAGAGGAGAACGTGTCACGTGTCGAGGGTCAAACCTCACTGACTCCCTAAGGCGAACAAAACTCACTAACTCCCTAGGGAAACAACAAACTTGCTCCTTGAAACCGCAGCAAATTTGTGGGCCAGCCGGCGTTAAGCAAACGATTTCTTTCCATTTTTTTGTCTATTTTGAGTTGGGACCCTCAATGTTCCCCTCAGCTTCGCCTCGGGGAAAATTGAGGGTCTCGAGCAAACAAAACTCACTGTTTCCTTTGGGGCCAGTCATTTTAAAGTGCTTATTGTCGCCAGTGTATGGCAACCTGTCGGGTAACATAGACTCAATCATAAGCGCGCGTTAGATCGAAGTAGGCTTATTATTTTGGGTGCACCTATAGAGTGTGTTCACGTGACGTCATCAAATTCTCAAATCCAAAACTAAAGAGCCCCTAAATGTTTTATCCTCATCAGGCATAAGAAGCACTAAGATTGTATCTGTTTACAACTTTGTAGCTCAATAGCGCCCTTCGTTTGGAAACCAGCGCATTTTCAATTTCGGAGTTATGGCGGTGCATGACATGAAGCTAAGATCGCGTTTCTCGAAAAATATACACTTATCTCGTGATTTTTAGCCACTGTAGGAGTTAAACTATCAGGAAAAGTGCTTGTGTACATGTTTTTTGGTTCGGTTCAGATAATTAGTTGTTTAGACAGCCAAAGTAAGTTCCATATATGTTTACACTATTTTCCGGCCGCCATATTGGAGGACTAAGGAGGAACTAGGCTCTATAATTTTGCAGGGAACATTTCGACGAATATCTCAACTTTGGGACAACGCACACACTTTAAACTTGATGAACTGTCTTCTTCATTTATCGTCTATAATATCACAATTTCTTGACTTTATCCACTGAATGGTTTTATCTTTAATTGCGTGACAATGAACACCCTCTGTACGGCTGGCGTGAAGTCATGCGTAAACACTCTTTTTTGTACATATAGCGAGAATTTTAGGCAATAAACCTTTAAAATAGAATTCTATATGTGCTATATTTTAAATTACAAATTACAACATAGAAAGTGCTTTGTACAGATTTTTGTTCACTCGTTGAAAAACTTTGGAAAACTCACTCGTTCGCTGCACTCACTCGTTCGTTTTCCAAAGTTTTGCAACTCGTGAATAAAAATCCGTACGTCCCACTTTCTATGAAGTAATCTATATACAACGCACACATATTATAGAGTTATCTGGCCAAATATTATTTGAGAAAAATTAATTTATGCCGATCAGTAGATGAAAGAATTTAACGTGCAGCACATGAACGCACAGTGGGCGGTTTCAAACTAACTGAAATGAGATGCAAAATGAAATTTGCGTTTAATAGGTAACAATGGAAACTTCTAGCAATGAGCCAATATCAAAAACTGCTTTTATTGTTGCCATAAACATGCTCGGACTGGCGTGACGACCGAAAGTCGAAAGCGTTTCAGTTGCTTTTTAACAAACTCCCAGTCTGTTTGACTGTTGTTTTTAGACTACAGTGAATGGCTGAGAGGCAAACTGGCTGTTTTAAGTTTCGGTAAGTTAGTTTTTCTTCACTGCTTTGATGAAGTTAGGGCCGCTGTCTTGCTTCATGGCGAAATTGGTTTTCGATGGTTAATATAAACAGATCAATACAGTCAGTATATCTAGACGTTTCGCTTATCTTAGTAATATAACATATGGGAGAGTTAATTTTGTTAACTGTTTCAAGTTCTGCGACAGTTATACCGGGATTTACAACACTCGGTTCATTCGCTTCGTCTCGACTCGGTCGTTGGACACCGTGTACACGAGCTTTGACTGATAGCGAGTTCGTAACTACTTTATTATGTCGTATAGTTTGCTACTGGATACAAAAACAACATGACTACGAAGATAACAGGTTTTGTTCAAGAGAATTTTAATTTAGTAGAAATGGACTGACAAAAATAATGGCGAAAAGCGTATTCTGAAAACAAAAATCACTACAGAGCATTGTCTTCTTTGACAGATTGTTTACTAGCTCCTGTCTTAGCAACCAATATTTATTGTAATTCTACCAGTCTTCAACCCTTCCCTGCAGTGCTCGAGGTTAAGCATTTATAAACGTTGGCTAAGATTCTATGATCTCTTCTGAACAAAGTGTTTCATTTTTTTTTTTCTAAGAAACAAATATTTTAAACAAAAAATCCATGACTGATATGTCACGCTCCTAGTAACATTATTCTATGCGATTCTGTCACGCACAAATAAAGTTAGAAAATGATATTTAGAAATACGAAAAAGATATACTGTTCCAAGCGCAAACGTGCATGCATGATTGATTTATAATCTGATGGGATATTCCACTCGCTTCCTTTAATCAGCATATTCAGTGAATTGAAGGAGTCAACGTCAGGAGTAATTTTTAAAATATTGAAGGTTTCAATGACAGCCAGTATTCAAGTATTATATAGTGGGTTTTGCATTTCTGTGGGCAATGATCAATTGATATAAAATCTGTTGTAAACCGGTAAATGAAATTTAATGTTAGCTGCCGGGAAACAAAAACGATTTTAACGTTAATGTTTTAGCTTAATGTGACCAAAATTTGGTGAAGGATTGTAATTTACATATACCGTTTGTTTTTAAACCTATAAAACTCGGGTTTAAAAACCGTTTCAATTGAGTTGTCGATTTTAATTATGCTATTATAGTAATAATCAAAGCTTTTTATTAAAATCTAAAAAAAAAAGAGACAAACTTGTTCTTTCTTAAAAAAAATATGAATAAATCCAAACACTGTACATATTGCGGTAACCTTTGAATATTTAAATTATGGAAGTCAATCGTTTTCTTTCTACTTGCTCGTGAGAAGGGAATCAGAGGAGAAATGGCTGTGGGGGGGTGTATCAAATCCCTTGTATGTGCTGATCGCCTATAAAATGCATAACATTTTACCCAGCTACAATTCTATTACGCAGGAAAAGGCGAGGCACTAGAGTTGAGCCTGAAGGAGAACACAACGTTAGGTACGTGATCATCTGTCAAGATCGAATATCTTCGTGTGTTATATATAATCGAATTTCAATGTCCAGCCAGCTCGAAGAAGCTGGCTAAAATGCCGTGCAAGCTCATTCTAGCTCTCAGCTAAAAAAATCTGGGGCTGGATTTTTAAGAGTCTGAACGTCTCGGGCTCGCAGAGAAAAATGCTTGTCTCGCCGTCTCGCAAATTCTCCCAGTTACCATTCGCCACCCTTTTATATTTTGGCTAAAACTTAAACACCACCAGAAGTAGGTAGAAGTAGATACTTGATGTGATTTGCACGGTAGTCAACGTTGAGACACCTGGTGTTTGTATTATGAAACTTGCTGGACATCAAGATCGTTCCAGTGAAAGTAGATCGCGTTAATCCCAGTCGTGATATCCAGTGTAAACTAGCTAATGGTAACTATTTTTTTTATTCTTATTTCCAGCACAAACGAACAAAACGGACCACCGACAGACGAAGCACGGCCATTACCGTATGCCATCTTTTTGTTGAATTTTCTTCTTGGGTTGTAGATGTGTTATTATTCCAGCATTGTCATCCAGTGTCTGTGAGCTCCGGTGTAAACTAGCCAGTAGTTCCAGGGGGCGGGGGGCCTCCCATATAAAAATGACAGGGTTGCTCGTCGTAACCTTGATAGGGGTTAAATAGCGGTTTTGGTACCTCATGGGNGGGCCTCCCATATAAAAATGACAGGGTTGCTCGTCGTAACTTGATAGGGGTTAAATAGCGGTTTTGGTACCTCATGGGTTTTGGTACCTCTTTTAAAGTTATTATATTGAGCTGAAAAAAATATGACAGGAGATAATGTGCTGTTTTAGAATTGGTAC